TTTACGTATCCTTTCATATGAGCCTTTTACTAGCACACGTCTTTTAAACCTGTTGGAAGGCAGCCGCGACTGCAGTTTCGAACACAATCGCCTGGGTTGAAAATTAAAAGGGTTGAAGTAATTTCCCCAGCCCTGCGACAGCCTGCTTTATGATACGATGTCTAGGACAGATACCCGTATTTTCCTCTGCAGAAATGTCCACCCCCTTAGATGCCCAAATCATTAAAGTTCGTTTACGTCAAGCCTGCCTATGACAAAATTAATACAAATTCCTAACAATAAGCAAAACGTCAACGGACTCGAGGGCGCCAATTGCGGACGGTGAACAGTTGATAAACTAGCCATGATAATTTTCAAATTCCGCCTCTATGGTGGTAACACTGGGATAGGCACCCTCCTCCGCGTATAACATGTCCTTAACTTCTAGAGGATTACTGTTAGGAAAGGGGAATAGGTACTGCCTGGGATTGAGCGTAACGCCACCTATCCTACAGGGGTACCTACTTGCCTGTTAAACCGGCTACTTGTTATCCGAGCGTCTGAAAGGACCCTCAGGAGAGGTTACAAGACGGTACCTACTTAGAGTTGTTGGTTTCTGGGTATCGTTATGATCCAATTTGCTTCTAAATCGGTGGATGCGGGCTCACCGATCAAAACCGGCAAGAAAGCGAGCCTTTAGCTCAATGATTAGGGTTTGGACTTTTAATCAACAGATCGCGTGTTACAACCTTCGGTGCTGCGCACCTAGGTATGACTGGATAATGACAACTAATAAGCAAGAAATTGCCATAACACTCTCCCTAATCTTCGTCGGTAATTTGCTTCTATCTAGGGTACTTCTAATTGTTGCTAGATTATCTGTCAAAATAAAGATTCTATTGGAAAACCTTTTGAATAATGAAATTTCGATAGATTAAAAAAAAATACTTTTAGCGGCAAAAATTACTTTTTACAAAATGGGTAAACTAGCAGCCTGAGGGGGTAGTCTAATAGGCTACTTAGCAGCTATGGCTTGATAGCCGGCC